CAAGTCAGGGTCGAGAGGAGTTTATATAGGAAAGAGTGTGGGGCGAACTTGGGATACGCTACGTGCGGGTGTATGATAGCACCTGTCTGTGATGCAACCTCGTAAAAGAGAACGTGGAAGCAGTCCCATGATGGAGGGAAAACGTGGAGCATCAGGGGAGCGTTTGCATATTACGGGGATCCAGCTTCGCGAGATACAATACGTGTCGAGGAGTCATTGGGTGAAAATGACAGCATATGTTGGGATCGGGTATCTCATAACGGACGCGGGTTGCATACTATTCCGCGGGAAAGGTTCAGAACGGAAGAAGCCCAACTTGTAGGTGGGGCAAAGAAAGATAAAAAGTCAAGCAAACCCATTTCATCTTAAGAGGACCCCCACATTGGTTGAGGGATACGTACGTTATTGTGCTCATTCAGCACGCTAACTCGTTCAACGATGACTATATTTTCAAAAGAAAATACCATATTTTCAAAAGGAAACACCTTTAACCATTAACGTAAAATTTAGCTTATAGTTCACTTTCAACAACAAACCAAGTCTTACACTAAGAGTAGAATGTGAAAGTAATAATTCAAAAATTATACTCCCCGTAAGATAAAAAAAATCAAATTACTTATATAGAAAAGAAAAAAGCAGTGAAATGCAATGATTATATTAAGTAACTGTGACATATTTTATGAAAACACTCTTACTTTATAAAAGAATGCGAGTGAGAGACAATGAACAAAAACAAAAATAAGAAAAAATCAATGATATAACTAATTAAAAATAAAAAATATATTAAGTATCCATATATTTGTAAAACGTCACTCGTAAAAGATAATGAGATCCAGTAAAGAATTATACTACTTCAAATTTTAAATATAAGAGCTAGTTGACTAATTTAAAGATATTAATGAAATAAGTTAAGTTAGTTATTTATAATAAACATGTGTTGTTTTTCTTAAAATATCCTTACTAATTAAATATATTGGCTAAAACTATTATTATTAAAAGGATTGTCTTGAAAAAAATATATAAATATAATAGACAAAATAGATTGAGATCTTATATTTAAAATAAAAATAAAAATCAAATAAAATCTTATATTAAAAATCAGAAATAATAAGTTATAGCCATAAAAAGAATTCGAAGGAGCGTGATTGAAATGAGTATTGAGACAGAAAATTCAAAATGTGGTTAGGTTGGAAGTGGTTCCCAATTCAAGTGGAGTGGTGGGGAGTGGGAGGGAAGAAGTAAGTCAGAGGAGGCAACTGTTAGCCCCCTCCCCGGGCAGGGGCGAAGAAGTGTAATGAGATGTGATAAGGTGACAGCATAGCATAGCACAGCAAAGTGGGAAGAATAGTAATGAGCACATCATGAATGAATGAAAACGAGTCAATAAATGGGTGCAGTGCCGAAACGACAGGTCAAATTAACGGGCGACAGCTACGAAGATGAGACCATGCCCACCTCAAACCCCGCGCCCCCTCTAACCAAAGAAAATTACCACCCAAACCCAAACAACAAATACTCACTGCATTTTAGGGTGTGTTTGGATGAAATCAAACCGTGGTTTAGAAAAGTGATTCTGGAGAATAGATTCTGGGAAAAATAGATTATGTGAATAATAGATTTTGTAAAAAAGTGATTCTGAGAAGTGAAAGTGTTTGGATAGTTGTTATCAGAAGCATTTTTTTATATATACAAATTACTAAAAAAAGACATAAGTTAATATGATAATTATAGAAAAAATAGATTTTATGATATATTTTAATTTGAAGGAATAAAATTGTTAATAATATGTTTGTTACCAACATAATTAATAATACATAAGATAATATAATTAATAAATAATTAATGTGTATATATATTTATAAAATATAAGATTAAATATATTTATAAAAAAATATGTTTATAAAAAAAATAACAAGATACATATCATATAGACCCTCACACTCTACTTTTTTTTTTCCAAAAGCAAAAAAATTTTGCTTTTTCTAAAACCATGGTTTTGGTTTTTGGAGGGGTGTTTGGGTAGATTATTCCCCAAACCATGGTTTGGGGTGTCATCCAAACACTCCCTTAATTTCACGCCGTCGCCCATCAACACCCTCCGTATCTTTACGTCTCACCACAACCCTCGGCCTTCTTTTTCTCTATTCAACCGTCGGCACCGGCCCCCATACACAAATCCTAACACACTGACTTTTTTTTTTTAAGGCGAATCGACGGAGAAAGGAATGGGCGGCAAAAAACTCTTAATTTAATTGTTGTTCTTATGATAGCACTGATTCACTTTTCAGTTTAGGGGATTTGGGATCGCAGAATCGCAAATCGGAAACGGCGGCTGAGAAAGAAAACTATGGGACCCTTTGAAACAATTTATAAATAATTTTTTAATAATGATTTTCAGAATATAAGATGAATTTTGTCTTGATTTACGTAAAACATACTTATAAGAAATTTCTATCGCTCTGCCAAATGAGGTTTATATTTCGTCCCATTCAAAATATAAACTAATTTTTTTAAAAAAAGGTTAGTTTTTTTATAAAATAATATTCACTTTTATCTAAATATTTAATAAATTTTTTCTAATTTTATCTTTACATATATATTTTTAAAATTTTTTATTTATTTTTTCTATTAATAAAAGTATATCAGGAAAACAAATATATACTTAACATATTTATTATTTTAAATTGATTTTTGATAACGTAATAAATAAAATTTAGTTTATATTTTACAGAGGAATGAATACCATCCTACTAAAAGCGGCACTGAGAAAAGTCAGCTTGTTTTAGGAAACCGAGGGAGTGCAGAGGCAGAGGCTGGACCACTTTCCCCCCTGTGGCGCCCACCCAACTGAATGCGTCCAACAAGGCTTTTCGTATCTTTCTTTGCTGTCCCAAATAATTTTTTCAATATTTCCTCGTCGATGTGATCTATTTCTCACCCAAACTCACCTAATGAGCCACCCTCGGAGGAGTAGATATTCTTCATTTGCGTCACCATTCTTCACAGAAGCTCTCAAATAATTTATAATGGATGCTTCATCATGAATGATCCTTTTTTTCTAAAAGTTCTCAGGAAGCAAGACCCAAGAATCAGAATTCTTGTTGATTAGGATTGGCACTACCACGACTTAATGCAGTAGTGGTAGATCAGACTTCAACTGCGGCAGTATTATTTTGGCAAAGTTCCATCAGGATTAAAAAAGTAAACTTGAATATTAAACTGGTAGCTGGGATAGTGGACCACGTTGGACCTCATTTTCCACCCTCCCTGTGTAGAAATTGGAAAAAAAAAAGAAAAGAAAAGGGGGTTACATGGATGTTATAACTATTCCCTCCAGCTGATGCAGCAAAACCTAGGGTTGAACTGGGATGATGATTTGTAGCCACACACATATATAATATAAAAGCGCTAACCCCACAATGTTATGGAACATATCACGCCATTCATTGGAGGCGTATGTGGATTAGGAATAGGATAGGGACCCCTTTGAGTCCCACCCCACAGACCCCGGAAAACCAAGTGCACTGTCTTTATTAAACACAAAGCCTCCGCTTTAGGTCTTCTCCCTAAGAAAAGGCCTCCACTTTAGGCTGCCCTGTTATTGTCCATCAAAACATACAATGTGACAGGGAACCGAAAGAGAGAGCCCCTCCTCCCATGCAGGCGAGCACTTGAGTTGCCAAGGTCAAAATGGGAAAAAGAAAAATATAATAGAAGAGCATGCTAAAAATACATATAAAATTGGTCATTGGAGACCGGGATCAGAGTGAAAAACCGAATTTAGCTAAAATTTAGGGCGAGTTTGTTTAAAATTAAGAAAAAAAATGATTTTGGTTGATTAAAATATAAGGGAATTGTTGGGGTAGAAATGGGAATTAGCTTATCTATATAAGGAATTTAGCTTATCAATGGAATAATTTGGCTTAGGTATTCCACTGTGGCATCATGTTACCATATGTTAATCCATAATTTTTCTTTTCTTTTTTCCGTGTGAAAGAGGGGGGCCTATTATGTTAATGCATAATTTAAAACCAAGGTCTTACGTACCAAATACTTTAGGTCTTATGTGTCTCAATATCGAGCAACAATTATTCTATTAAATTAACGCATACTTAATGTTTGATTGCCGTTGCAGGATAAAAAAAATTAGTACTCTTCTCGTACTTAGTATAGAATCTAATTAGAGAGTCATTATTAGCTCTATATATAAGACCTAATTCATATGTTTATCAATTTTTTTTTAAATTAATCCTATTAATATCTTCACAACAATAATCACGTAAGAAGAGGAGGAAGGGAATTAAAGAAAATATTTAGGATGTTTTAGAAAAAAAATCATATTAACTAATTTAAATAATATAATTAATATACTCAAATTAATTAATTAGATCTTATACTACCTCTGATCATAATTATAAGAGCCAGTTCATTAATTTGAGGAGATTAAAGAAGTAAGTTGAGTTAGTTATTTATCTTAAATAGGTATTGTCTTTTCTAAAATATCCTTACTAATCAAGTGTATTGACTAGAACTATCATTATTAAAAAGGCTACTTTAGAAGAAAAAAATGTATAATATGAGAAATAAAGTAGATTAGGGTTTTATATTAAGAACCAAAATAAAAATCAAACAGGATTTTATATTAAAAAATAGGAGGAGGAACCCCCTCGGGTTCCAAATCAACATTGTACCTGCCTTTTTTCCTGACAGGTAGTCCAACGCTCCAGCTTATGCTCTCGCTCACCACGCTCGGTGGCAGGTGCTAAAGGCCCGCCCGATCGATGGCGTCACCTATTTTGCTCACCAACAAAACAAAAAGGCCTTCTCAAAGCAAATGGAGATGAGAATTGACCCAAACAAAGCGTTGTTCGCCAAGAAAAAAATTACTTGCTTCGATCCCTACCAGCCACCATTTAATCATTAATGGTTATCCACTGATGAAATAAATAAAAAATAATATAATTGCATGTGAGATTCTCGTCTCTCTCCCTCTTTTTTTAAACATCCATTGTCTCTTTCTGTAACATTCAATGATTCAACCTGGTATAAACAAGCCACATGAAAAATTGACAATCTTCAATTTCCCTCAAATAAAATTAGAGAAACAAGGTTACAATTCTGTGATCATCAATTACAGATGTGTTGTTTACCTTCCATATAACCCACTATTAACCCAGGAAAAGCGTGCAAAAAGGAGTCAGTAAAAAGTCACCATCCAACATTCAAGAGATTCTCCTATTCAAAGTCACTTGAAGCCAGTGAAACAGATCTCTCTCTGCATTTTTTCCCCGGTTCCCCTGGTGCCTACGGGCCATCCCTTCTAATAAAGCCTGGACTTGGTAGGCTCATTGCTCCATTTTTACCTGTTTCAAAAGAGTTGTCTTTTACAGTGGATAGCGGCGTATCAGAACTTAAAGATCTAGATGTCATGGTCTTGGAAGGGAAAGAGTTTTTACCCAGAGAGGAACTTGTGTCAGGTGAGGTCAATGCTCCATCTTCACGAGGCAGTGACAAAATTGAAGGTTGGTCATTGATATCCCCTTCTTTCCTACAGAATTTTTCATCTACAACATCATAGTAATTCCCAGTTCTTACCTCCTGAGCAAGCGAGCACCAGAAACAGCAGAGCCATATTGTGCAGTCAGAAATCGAGGGTTCACCAAAACAGAAGGTATAGGCAGGTAAATTGAACCTCTTTCTCATTTGGATCCTCCAAAAGCCACCATACAACAAACCAAGAAAACAAAGAATGATCCCAGTGGCTACTAGAGCCTCTCTAACAGTGTCATTATCAATGTCAACAGCAGCGAATATAAAAATCCAGAATGGAGCTGTACAGAACAGAATGAAAGTAGCAATATGAACATACATGTTTCCAAAACGAAGTCTCTCCATGTTCCTACCAAACACACAAAAAGTGCAGAAGAGGGAGAGATATGCAGTGGAGATATCCTCCCAAATGTCAAGTATTCCTCCTCTCCACCGTGGTTCATTCTCAAACACCCTATTATGTTCATCTCTTGCTGCAAATGAATATTTTTTCTCCAATGGTTTTTGAGATGAAGTGGTTTGGACCTGTTTTTCTTCATCCATCTCAAAATCATAATCCCTACCAAGAGGGCTAAGAATGGTATAAAGACCAGCAATTGCTGGCGCAGCTATTGCAAAAGATATACAAATTCCAACTCCTATGACAGGTCTCTCTGATCTTTTGTACCCCAAATTTAGACCACAAAGCGCATATTGAGCAAAACAGTTCAGGTGAAGGAGAAGAACCACTGCCATCATATGTGCCCGTTCATGTGGTTTATAGGTTCCATTCTTGCAGTACACCTTTCTAAGCGCAAAGATATCATTCTGTCTCCATCTGCACAAAAGTACAAGATGATGGAATCTTTTGGGGTGCTGGTATAAACACATAAGTGTAAACAGAGCATTGAGTATCTGATTGTTAATTTCAAACCACGTGTTTCTCTGAGACTTCTTTGGAAGCACACTGTTCAACATTCCAGTCATAACAAGGAAGAGAATTGCACCAGAAACAGCAACACAGATGATCCACCCGAAAAGAGCCATGTTCATTGGGTTTCTAATCCATTCCTTGAACATATTCTTGAGGGAACTCCAGTCAAGTTTCTGCGTAAACACGCCACTGAACCGTTTCCCCAAGTGATATGTACCAGAAGGCACAGATTGTGAAATCTGGCTGCTCTCGGTCATGGATTTGACTAATGCAGAACCAAGTTTGTGGAACTTAATCCCACTAGGAGGATGACAGCTCAACGTGTTTTGAGACTTCCGCACAGGATTTTCACCGCTTATAGCGGTCTCTGGAGAAGCTGAAATTTCCTTTATTTCAGTACCCTTTTTTTCCTCGATTTCATTATTGACATTACCATTATCAACGGAAACCATTCTCAGAAGGAGTCTCAACTTTTCCAATCAAAATCAGAATGATGTCATCAAGGAGTTAAGCGACAATACTGCGAAAAGAGTACAGTGAAGTTTATTACTCGGCTTAGTTTTCAAAGCCAACCAACAAAAAAAAAATGATAACGGGAAGCAGAAGGAAATTTATATAAGCAACTCAACAACGAAGACAGAACCCTAAGAGCTGATATGTTTTAAAGACGATCCAATAGACTAGTTATGAAGTTCGATCAATCAGAACCCGTCAATTTACTGACCGAACTATACAAATGCTATTAATGACAGTCAAAGAAGAAGCTTATGGAAAAAGTAAAAGAATCAGAAGTATAAGAGGAGGAAGGAAGTTGAACATACCTCTAAACAGACTCCAACATAAGAAAGAAGCAAAAGAAGGCGTTGAAACCCAATGGTTTCGTCTGAGCTAATCGGTAGAGTTCAAATTCCACAAAATTAATGGTAGTTGAACAATATGGACCGAAAGTAGAACCGAAACTCCAACTATAAGATGAAAAAGATCAATTGCAGGAAATGAGTTGGCAAAGTAAGGATGATTAGCGAATAACAACAGAATGCATAGAATTGATTCTCCAATGTAAGATGAATACTCGTCGCTTTCTACAGAAAAGAAATACTTGTTTTTTCCACTAAGCAAAAGAGGAAAGCAGGCAAAGACAAAATAATGTAGGAATTTTTCATCCATGGAAACTTTATGCTAAACAATTTGATTTTCTTGTCCGAAATATAAAAAAACAATTTGACTTGGTCTTAGAAGTTTTTAATAATTAAAAAAATATTTTTAACTTAAGGCTTTGAATGAATTCTTTTATTTTTTGACATAAACATTTTAATAAGTGCGTGCGCTTTAAAGGTGCATGCATATAAACATACGGTTTAAAAATTCAGTCACATTCTTCGTAACTGTAAATTTCACTAATTTTTTAATCTTGAGATATTTATTTATTATTTTAAAGATATTTTATAAATTTATAGGTGGTATTTTTTTAATTTATTTTTGGGTTAAGGTGAAATTTTGATTCTAATCTTATTTCTAAAGTGTAATTTTATCTCTGATCTTTCATCTTTCAGTATTACAATTTTGTCTATGATCTTTTTTTAAGTGCAATTTTGCTCTTAATTTTTAGGTATAATTTTACTCCTCAAAGTCAAAATTATACTTAAAAATTAATATCAGGGTCAAAAATATTTTATCAGCTAATTTATATTATTTTAATTATTTTCTAAAATAAATAAATGCAGTGCCGAGCAAAATGCGGTGGTCACAGGGAAAAAAAAAAAAAAACGTAATTCTCCCTAAAATTAATTATCGGGAAAATTGCCGACAATCAAAGGAGCCAATCCATTTTTCTTCGTCCACGAACAAACCTTCCACGCTCCGCTGGACGTCCACCGTTGTCAGCCGTGCGTGGTTTTTATCGGGAAAGTAGTGAAGAAGGTTCGAACCCTAGGGCTTTGTCTGCTCCCAAAATCGGGTGAGATTGATTTGTTCAATCTGGATTTTTTTGTTCGCCGCGTCATCATTACCTGCGTGTCTGTTCTTGCTTTGATCCAAATTTTTCATTTAAGAGCTTTGAATTGGTCTGAGTAATTGCTTGAACATTGACGCTTTTGAATTTGGGAATATTTACAGGTTGATTTTAAAAAAAAAAAAAAAGGTACGGCTTGAATGGTGTGTAATTGGCTATTATATTTCTGCCCTCTTCATTTTGGTTTCCAGTGACTTGTATAATCTGGGTTGTGTTGTTTTTGCGATGTTGGACTTGTTGTGTTTTGGCATTCTGTTTATTATTCTCTTTATATTATATTATCCTCAACTTAGAAAATTCTCAAGGTATTTGTTCTGTATGATCTTGTAAATAACTTGGCTCAAGTTGTGTCAAAATGTTGGGAACAAAAATTAGAAGTGTATTATATTAACTATGCATATTTCAAAGATTTCAGTTAGGGCACAGATGCCCCCACTGAGTGTAGTATAGGTCCTCTGTGTGTGAGGGCTTGGATCAAACTTCTTGGTAGAACTTCTAGTATCTCCTGTTTAATCCTTCTTTTAATATCAATTATGTGCCTAATTTCTGGGTTGATATTATCTTGTTGTCTCTTTTGTTTTAGCACAACTTGGTCTTGGCTTCTAGTTTAAGTTTTGTGCCAAAAATCTTCATTAACATGATGTTTCATGATGCTGTCTCTTTCGTTACTTAATCTTGCTTTCTAATTTAATTCTTGTGCCAAAAGTCTTGATTAATATGATGTTGGTATGACGCTTTCTCTTTTGTCACTTAATCTTGGTTTCTAACTTAAGTTTCGTGCCTAAAATCTTGATTAATATGATGTTGGCATTTTCCTATCCCTTTTGTTTTAGCACGGAATTAATCTGAATTCCTAATCTAATTGTCATGCCAAAACTCTGTATGTACATGGTGCTGCGTCCCATTGATGAATTTACCATGATGTAGCATCTCTTTGGGCTTAAGTTGGGTTCAAATGTTGTTAAGGCATGGTTGCTGTGGCACTAAATTTATCATGATCTAGAATATATTTTATCTTAAATTGGGTCGAATTGTTGTCTGAAACATGCATGTTGTCCCTTTTTTAGGTGGAATCAGCATTGGTTGTTTTAGCTTTGTTTTTGAGCAAAATATTGCATTAGAATGCCCGTTGCATGTCCCTTCTATAAGGAGGGCCTATGGTTCGAAATGAAAAAAGCTGGCTAGAGTTTTCCACTCCAAAAATAAAAAAGTCTGGCTAGGGTGTGTGCGTGAATTCTAGAAAAATGCTTTTTGATCTTATCGTGCACTTTGAAAGAAATTGATTCCCAAATCCTTGCTTTATTTAGTTAAATCATTAATTTTAAAATGATGTTTTTCGTAACCTGATCATTATGTTCAGTATCAGGACAGTCAGGGTTCTTCTGTCTCGTCAGTTTAAGAATGAGCACCTCTCTGAGCCGCCTGCTTATATCAGTAACAAATTTCTCAGCCGCCAATCATGCACTTAACTGCACCAATGCCCAACCACTGGCTTGTTCTGCTTCTGCATCAGTGACACGCTTCATCTGTTCTACAACTCGACACTTCCAATCGCAACAGGACAATTCAGTTAAGGAACAAACAAAGGCTTTGCAAGAGAATCGCACTACTGATAATACTCAAGGCCAAGAAGAACAAGACAGTGGCGATGACGATGATGTCCATGTGAATGAAGAAACCGGTGAGGTAGGTGGGCCCAAAGGACCTGAGCCTACCAGATATGGTGATTGGGAACGAAATGGTCGGTGCTATGATTTTTGAGCTCTCAGTCGTCTAATAAAATTCGTTCGGAGTTGGCTGTTTTGAGTTCCGGATTTCCTGGTTGTAATAGACGCATCGTTTGGCATCCTTCTCTTCATTGCTTTCCCTTCGTGTGTCACTCTGCTAAAATTATGTGGAGGTGAACTCGATCCATTATTGGAGATTCGACCCTGTATGAAATTTAGGTCTTAGAATAAAAAGGTCGGGTGTTCACATTAGTCTTGTGGGGACATTAACAGATAAATTTGAAGGTGAAAAGAGTCATAGCAGGAGTGTATTCTTGTTTCATATGGTTTGTTACCATTTGATCTAGATTCGTGTATCCTCACAATCTCGTATAGCATTTTAGATGAGGCGACTAGGAAGTCTGTTGGTGCTAAAGTTATTTGATATGTAAAACTGAGTTCATCCTTCTTTAGATGGTACCGCAGCAAATCGACTGAATCTCTATTTAGCTTTAATAACATATTAGAATTTCAATAATACCTCGTGCTTCTTATGGTCACAAATTTCGGGGAATGACCGTAAGTTGCGACGTAGCGAGTGGGGAACATTGTTTTTACCTCCTTGGTTTCTTGTTAATCTTTAACTGCTAGGTTTTATCTTTCTGTGTTTCGTGTTTTGTTAGATTTTGATTTTTTATTTATTTTGGACAATAGTTTATTGGCATTTAATTTTTTTTCTATACACCACTAATTTATTTTACTTATATTTATAATTTGAATAAAAAATCTTAGAAGTTTTGTTGTTTTATTTTTTATTTTAAAATAATTAAAAAGAATTTAAATTTTAAAAAAATAACATAAAAGGGCCAGTCCTTTTAAACCCTGAGCCCGCATGTTGAAGGACCGGGCTTTAATAATTAGATAATTTTAAAGTATGTGGGCTTTAAAGGGCCGGCCCTTTTAGGCCCTGGCCCTTCAAGGGCTAGCCCTTTAGGGCCGGGTTAGCCCTTATTGACAGCTCTATTAATTATAAAGGTATTGGTATAGAGGGGAAGAGCAGAGCACGAGTTGTGGCACGTTGGGGGAAAACTGGAGTATAGATTTATTGGGGTATTAGTAAAAAAATAAGAACAAAAGAAAAGAGGAGGAGAAAGAGTTTCGCGTTTTCCCTTAATTTTATTTTCCAACTAAACGATTTTGAAGGAAAATAAACATGCTTTCTAAAATTGCCTTAGAGAAAAAGAAAGAGGCATGACGCCACAATTCTAACACAAATGTTGTTATTATGAAATTGATCCCTTTTTAATGTTTTATTGTGTTTATCCAAACACACGTAAAGAGATCATTGTCTTTGTTATTCTTTTCTCGCTATTTTCTCTCATTCCATTCTATCCTCGTCAATAGTGTTAAAACAACACCCCTTAACTGTATGGCTTGGTCATTCAGAATATTTTTCATTATTAAGGATGAATTTTTTTCTGAGTTGAAATTATTAAGGATGAATTGTGTGTGGAAAATAAAACATAAATCGATGTTTTTCCTAAGGTAATTACTTTAACAAACAAAGTACAAATGGTACTCATTTCCCGGAGAAAAAAATAAAACAAAAGACAAGAGAACACAAAACAGAAACATATAAACTCACGAACTCAATTCTTGAATTCAATCAAACCACCACTTCAAATGATACCCAAATATAAAGTACAATTTATGAGTAGACCCACAAGCAACTGCACGTATAATAAGCATATGACAATACAATGCAACCCCTCAGACATTTGATTCAAACAACGAGAACAGAGTGCAAACAATTTAGGTGAGATCGTCCTCCTCGAGTTCTTTAGATTTCAGCTTTTCCTTCACTCTCAAAAGTAGAGTTGTCTTCCAAGAATCCTGCACAACATTCAAGCAAACAGGCGCTGTTGAGACATTTGAGAAATTACAGAATAAAGATTGATGACTCGCATAAATCAGAAAAGAGGTATGGCTGGAAACAAAATGAAGCACAACACTCATAAATAATAATTGTTGAGTAATCAGTATATCTATAAATAATTTAAAATGATAGGAAATCACATTATTTATAAGCCATAAACAATACGGCTCACTTAAATTCTATGCAAAGCATTAGACCCACAATCTAGTTTCCTCCTCAAAAAGAAAAGCAAATTAGATATTTTATTTCCCATTAAAGAGAACCAACAAACAATTCAACCACCACTTGAAATGTCCGACCAAATAAACAGATCAAGATGAAAACCGGGGTCAGTTCTTCAGAACTGCAGCGGCGCTGTCCTACTGCCCTGTACAACCATTCTATTCTGCTTGAAGTAATCAAATCATATATTCTAGCAGTCAACATTGAAAAAGCTGCCTTTTGTTCTGGCTCAGAATGAACAGAGCAATATTATACTACTAAGTAATAACGACAGTTTCTCAGCAAAAACATGCCAACATCTTTCAACTTTTGAGGCTTACCAGAGGGGTCATGCCATCAAACTCCTTGACAACATCAGTAAACTTCCCAACATCTTCTTCATCAATCGAAGCAGCAATATCCTGCCATAAGGGGGAAAGCTTTTAGTGTGAGTGTTTCATTTGACCGTCACATAGGTTTTGATCATCCACTTTGTTGATCAAAATGTTGATCTAATTTGAAACAGAATAGTTAGAAGAAAAGGATAATACAGTAACATGCAAAACATTAGTGACAAAATTATAATAATGGAAGACACTTCTTGAACGCCCCCACATTCTAATCCAATTTAATTGGTCATAAAAAATCAGAAGTGAATAAGCAAAAGCAGTGACCAACCGCCAAAAGTCTATATTCCCGTGTTCCTGAAAACGTTGGATCCAATTCCTGCAGAAATAAATACATATCCAAAAAATGAGCAACTAGTGAATGTCCAGACTCTACTAATGAAACGTTAATTGTTCAAAAATCTTGGACCTGATATCGCTCTAGTGCATTGGTGATAGCAACAACATCCCCTTTACAGAGTTGGCAAATGCCAGCATTAAGAAGATGCCCTTTAACTCCATACTTCAACAAATTATTGTTCAGAGACTGGCGAGCTATATCTTCATAAATCTCTATTGCCTTCTGATATCTGGTGAAATAAAATAGAAATAGTCAATGTTCACTTTTACTTAGACATAACAGCTAAGATAACATTCCTTCCAAGTTAGAAAAATGAATCAATCTTTACAATAATCTTTAAATTCAGGCTCCATGTGGCGCATATCACCCCCAGTATGGGGGAAAATCTAACAATGAATGTTACGAAATCATTATCTTTGATATGGAATATTTTCTTTCCATAGAATTTTTTTCTTAGAATTCAAGAACTGTGTCCCGAAAAAAAAAAAAAAACCATGAAACTACCACCAGAACACAAATTGGTCATCATCTAAGAAGAAATGAAATTGGCATGGATCCGTGACAGAACAAGGTATATTGTGCTTGAAGCGCCGCATATGTATTGTACACAAAGCTTCAGTTTTGAAGTACCAAAGCTTCTTAGATCATCATGCTTGTCATTGTATGACCAGTGCCAAAAGCAGAAATTGAATAACTTCTCGTTTCCCCCCTTTATATTCCCAACGTAAGGTGTTCAGTACAGAGATAACATCCCAAAACTAACATACGAAAAGTGCTGAATATGAAATTTAAAGTGGTCTACGCGCCTAGAGAATTTTCAATGCCAAGCAAAGCTAAGCTGCGTTAAACATTGGTAGAGTTCAGTCAAGATTATAGGCAAACAAATAAATTCCCAAAGAAAAAATGTTTACAGTCACTTGATCAAATGTAAGTGGGAAACATAGAGAAGAAAAATGCCAGGTTTGCTTCGCATAAACCAAAGGAAGGCCACAAAGAAAAATTGCAGAATAAACACCCAATGTAAATAAATAAGTTCAAGAAGAAACAAACATAAACTGAGACGAAGAGCGATTATTCCAGCCTACAAAATTCTTGGTGACAAAGACGATAGTATAACAGAAATCTTACTGCTCAAGCTGAGCAGCAAACTGAGCAACTTTTTGCTTGCACTGGTTAGCAGAAGTTGTTGCCTCTTCATTTCCAAAAAAATCAGCCGCCTTTTCATAGTAAACCATAGCCTGCTCAATGTTCTGGTCAGACTCATGCAATTCAGCAATTTCCTGTACGCACAAGAAATTAAACCCTAGTTAGGATACACTTAAGTCTTTAGTAATTTCTGTGATCTCAATAAATATGATGTAATTATACTATCGATATCTAGCAGCAGGGTTATCAAAAATGAAATACTACACATGGGAATATCTAAGAGAAGGATGCCATAATTTAACCAAACATGCATTCCAAAGCAATTAAATTAAATGGTCGTACTGAAACAAAAACTCAAAGGCTGACTGTAGTGATTAATACCTTAAAATATCTAGCAGCCATACTGAGTCTTCCAATTTCACAGAAAGTGTTAACAGCTTTGTCTAAGCAAGATACAGCCTCTGTATATGAAAAAGAAAAAAAAAAAAAAAAGAGCCCAATATGTAAATTTCTGTCTTCTCCAATAAACACAATTGACAAACAATATCATTCCTCACTGCTTTAAAAATGAACAGAGGTTGTCAATAAAATAATGAATACCAGTAAGTTTCCAAAAGTGATGATAAGACAACCAATCAAAAGATAACTCATAGATAGCCATCAAGAGAAACAGGAAGATCAAATCAAACTGACAATTTGCACATACAGAAATTATTTTCAGCAGCTCACTTGAATTTTGAATATATCTAGATAAAAGTATGTACCCAACTACCCATAACTTTGAGCTCAGTCCATTGTGCGGGTAAAGACAAGAAGCTAAATTTAATTAACGGAAATGGGACACTCTGAGCAAGATAGCAGCAAATTTACTAAAAGTATTTCACAATGAATGAAGATTACAACTGTTTTACACGATTTACATTGAAAGTTTGCACCAGAAAGTAGCAAGTGTAGGAAGAATCGACCTCCAGGAAGAGGCATGAGAACCATTTAATGCATAAATCAGAAATAAGTTAACGGATTCCCATGTGTTAGCAGTGTCAAAAGAGAATAATGCCATTGGAAATAAGAAAAGAATACGATTGTACATATCCAATAGCATACATACCACTTATATTTGTCTTTTTATAGCAATGAGCAGCATCAACATAAGCTTGGGCTGCTTCATGCTTGCTTTCCACCTATAAGCATAAGACAATATTTATAGGCTTATGAATGAGAGAAGGGATGCGGAAGGGATATAGCTGGACGGGTGATTCCTTTTCTTTTTTTTTTGTTGGGGGGGGGGGGGGTCTACCTTGAAGTAACAATTTGCCAACTTGATGTACGTCGGGCCTGCTTTATCCCCTGAAATGCCACAGATAGAATGACGAACAAATTGCAGAATTAGCTTTGGCTACAAGATTCATCCCATTTACATCTAAACTAATTCGGTTACCAAGGTGACGCTCATTGATCATAGAATTAGCAGGCTCAATTGACAGCAGGACTAATCAGTTCCAATAAGTAACTCTACCTAATAGCGACAAAAAAGTTTATATAAAGCAGCGAAAATAAGTGGATGATGTCCTCAAACCTTTAATATTTAATCCTCGTATGACCTAGTCGAGGTCAACCTCTCCAGAATTCTATGATGTTATACAACTGGTTAATCAATTAAAAAAATTGTTTTTTCTTCGGAAAAAATCAGATAAAAATCTGTAGTTTAATTTATACACCTGTCCTGGACAAGCCATTTTTGCACTCGGTCCAGGAGAACGCAATCCAAACCGGGAATCGGCCATTTAACAGCAACAGGAGCAAAGGAAGCGAAGGTGCTTCTGATCGGTGTTAAGTACGAGAAAATCGACGAAATGCAAGATAAGAAAACAGAAAAAGAAGATTTATTTACTCAAAAGTTCCTCGGAAACAAAGACGGAGCGAAATAGAGATAAAGAAGAAAATTACATGCTTTAGCAAGCTTGTAGGAATTGGCGGCTTTATCGAAGAGATCAGCAGCATCCTCATATTTGGAACCGAACAATCCCCAGCTATTAAGCTTCTTTTCTGCTTTCGCCTCGAATTCCTGAGCCCTTGCTAACTGATCCGCCATTTCCCCGATTTCTTCTGGTCCTTCGAGAATTGATCAATTTCAGATGTTTGTGAGTTGCAAGAAAAGATTAATAAGGAAGACAGCAGCTAGTGAGGAGAAAGATTTTTCTTTTTACCAGAACTCAAAAGGAATGTTGAGGGAACCGGTCCGTGGAAAACGATCGCTTCGTGAATTTGGGCTGGGTTTCCTTTAAGTTGGAAAAAAGATGTTATGGACAGGGGACTAAAAAAAAAAGAAAAGGGAAACAGAATGAGAAAAGGAATATTCTTTAGAAAAATACAAACGAAATGTATTGGAAAAATTGAAATTATCAAAGAGAAAAATATTACTTGATCCTTAACATAAGAACTCCTAATTAATTTGTTGGCAAGAAAAATCCTAATTAATTTGCGTGAATTAAAAATTTTAAATAAATTACTTAATTCCAACATATATTACCTAATGTTCTTAAAATGTTTTTGTATAATATTAGATTATATCTGAACTTATAAAACGGATAAATTATTGTGAAGAAGAGTGATAAATAAGATAAAATAGGCTTATGCTTTAATTTCTTGGTCAGCTCCTACGCTGAGAAACAACGGAGCATTTTTCTTTTGTTATAAAAGAAAAATTATTTACTTAGGGATAGAAGTTACGCTAGGTACTAATTAAAAGAATATAATATGGATACTACATGTCTTGATTTTTTTTTTGGGTAAGAACATATCTTGATTTTTTTACATAATAAAAATGTTTTTTTTTTAAATTTTTCCACAGGCTTATGTATACACCTTAACCACTAATGTAACGATGTTACATGAAATCTGATCAGTAGTTGCTATAAATTTTATATTGTATATTAAAAATGATTGAAATTTTTGTACTAACAAATCATTATATTGTGGTTACAAATAATGATATCTTAATTTACATACACACTTTTTCACAGGAAGTGTTTAATTTTTCAGATAAATCTTCTTATCATTAAAAAAATATTTACAGAATATATTTTAATAAATTGATGTAGGTAAGGATGGCTTCGTCAATTTTAGTTGGGCTTCCTTGTATAATGGGCTAGGCTCTGTACTAAGGAAGTCGGCAAATCATATGGCGCTGACATCTGGCCCCAAACCAGGTACCCGACCCAGAATCCAATTAGTAAATACAGCACGTGAACAACATGTTTGATTTTTGTTCTCATTTTTAATTTTGAAAAATTAAGAACGATCAAGACAAGGCATGGATTTGCTCAAGCGCCAAAACCACGTGGTATCTTAGCCGTTTGTAGTGTTTATCTCGTGAATTTATTAATTTTATATGTTTTATCGACTTGAAAAAATAAATTATGAGTGCATGTTTACTATTCCCTCCATTCCTTATTATAAGAGACAAATAATTAAATTATATGATATAAAAAATTAAAATTAGTTGAGGACAATTAACGTGTAAAAAGTACAATGTTTTTTCAACAATGCCCCCATTAATAAGGAGACAGAGTATGAGAGAGAATAACTAAATTATTAAAAGAAAGCGAAGTGGGAGGGAGAGAGAATATGAGTTGGAGACAAAATAAATAGGGATAAAATAGAAAATCAATACAAAAAAATAGAGACAACTTTTAAGTGTCTCTTATATATGGAAACATACCATAAGTATTAAATGTCTCTTATAATAAGGAACGGAAGGAGTAATTAAGAAGACATTTAATACAAAAATAAACAAGATGTAATCTTATTTCAAAACTTGATTAAGTTATAAATTAATCTTATATGAAAAAAATTTTAGGCGTGGAATGATTTAATATATTAGCTGCCACTAGATAAATGATGAGCTCATAATACAATGTACCGTCCGAGTGCCTTCTTAATGCTTTATATGCAAAATAATACCTCCGGTCCTAATTATAAGATCCAGTTTGACTTTTAGTTTGGTTTTAAATATAAAATCTCAATCCACTTTGTCTCTTATCTTTATCTACTTTTTTCCAAATTACCCCTACTTGTATTATATTAAGTATAGTCAAATACTTTGTCTCTTATCTTTTTCTATTTTTTCCCAAATCCTCTCTCCACTTCTCATTTTGGAATTAAAATTTGATTAGGTTAGTTTAAATATTTTATAAATATATTAATAAACTTTTAAATTATTAAAATAAATATATAAATGACTCAAATTGTTAAATTTTAACCGCCCTTGTTTAAATAGCAATGAACAGAGAGAGATCAATTAGTGCTGAAAAACTGGGGTTTGGCGTGGTCAGAAAAATAGCTCGCGATCGTGCAGGATATTTTTTTAAAATTTGATGAGGGTATTTTTGGAAAACAAGTGCTATTTTTTAACCATTAACTAACTTAACTAAATTTCTTAATTTTTTTAAATCAGTCAACTGGGTCTTATAATTAGGACGGGAGGTAGTATTATAATTGAGAATTGGATCTCCCTGTTGCTGACACGTTTTGGCCTTGGATTCATTTTTTTTTTTCTTCCTGGTTTTCGGGGTGATGTTCTGTAGACTTTTTCTTTGAATGATATGAATACATTTCTTTGGCCCAAAAAACAAAAACAAGAATTGGATCTCCCATTTGACATGATTTTCGCACTCAAAATAAATCTAATTGTGAAAATCGTTGTCTATATCGCCCATCAAAATGCAGGCAAGACCATAAGCAAATAAGCAGGCCTACCAACTGCAGCACTAAAGACCGACATTATTAGGTAACACCGAATACTCACTAAAAAATACTAGAAAAAATTGTAATAAGATCCCATCTATGGGAATTAAATGTAAAATTTTTTTTTAAAATCATCAAATTATTTTAAAGTTTCAAGAGACCTTATTGCAATAAATTTTATTTGTTTAATTACCAACTTGTCCCCTTTTTCTTTTAAATTTGCATTGATAACTGAAAGAACAATTGTTGACAACTTAAGATATAAAGATAGACAACTATCACAGGATATATGAGTTGTCAATACCTGCTGTGATAATTGTCGATTCTTACACTTTAAGTTGTCAATAACTGCTCTTCTAATTATCAATGCAAATTTGAAAAAAATAAAGATAACTTGGTAATTAAACAAATGAATTCTCTCGCAATAAGGTCTCTTAGGGTTTCAAAATAATTTGATTATTTTAGAGATCCTTTTGTATCTAATTCTCTTATGTGAGACTTTGATACAATTTTCCCAAAATGCTACACACTCAAAAGTTTTATTGGGTATAAATTTATCTTAATTTTGCTTCATATTATTAAAAATTAATGTTAACGATTAAAATAATAACATTAATAGTTAACATTATTAACGATGGGACAAAATCGTACTATTTTAAATTTTTAAAACAAATTTGTATAAAAATTTTTTTTGAGTGCCCAACATCTTAGGTGAAAACTTTTAGGATACATTTGTATTTTAACCTTGATAATAATTTAGAGAGGATCTCGTGGTTAGTATTAAAGTTTATTAGGAGAAAATTGGTTACTGTTGTAAAAACCCTTTACCTCATAACATTATAACTCATCACAAAATCACTACTATGGTAGAAAAGGAAATCTGTTAAATGAACTACCATAGTAGGAAGAAATTTGCATAATTTTGAATTAACATGTAAACTCGATTCCAACTCAAAGTCCGTTGCATGCAATTGAAATCATTCATTCATAATCCATTGGGCCTCCGAGCCTCCGGCCCGGGTAACAACATACATCAAAAGAAGCCCATCCAGTTAGTTTTCAACCATGTAACAAAGTTTCATAACACAATAGAAATGGCCTCCGGCCAACTAAAACGAGGAGATAACATATTCTCCAATTTACAATTAGGCCGGGTAATCAAAATATTTCAAAGAACTCTAACTGTGGCAATATACAACATATTCATACATAAACAAAGGCTAGAGGTCTAAAGCTAACCAAGCTCAAGCCTTTGCGTCTCTCCCCGAAGGCGCACGCCTAGAAACTTCACCTGAAAACATTGTAAACCACGGGGTGAGACAAAGTCCCAGTAACCAACCTTTCCAATTCAAGGTACTACTAAATAGGTGCTCGTGAGGTGTCAAGTGGGGTAGTTCACAAGTAATATGATAACAAGATAGCCATAACAAGTTATGCAAGTGCAATGATGCAATCCCATCAACCATATCCCTCACTTTGGGGGATTTTTAAGAGTCGAACCCGGCCTATCCCTCACTTTGGGGGACGTAAGGAGCCATAAAAGGCCTATCCCTCACTCTGGGGGACGTATGGAGCCAAAATGCCTATCCCTCACTATGGGGGACGTACTGAGCCAACTATCATGCATTAATGGAGGCCTTACCACGTGGTAGTAACTATCAAAACTCTCACCAATTCCCAATTCATGCATCATGCTCAAACCATAATCAAATAGTAATTGAACATTTCATAATTAACTTCATTCAGTGGCATATCCTTCACAATTTCAAGATTTCATTCATCATCAAGCGAAACCCCATAAGACGGTTTTCCTTTTTATACACAACATACACTTTGAACATAATTACTACTTGGAGCACAAAACATAAATCTACTCACAATACCACAGAAGCAAGTACTAAGGATTGGAAAGTGGTTACCTCTCGCCTGAGCAAGGAACAACAAATCAACGATGTGGCCTCGTGCACCACCAAGACTCACAATCGGTCTACACAAGCACACAAACACACAACCATCATGTATTAGCTTTCAAACTAATAATGTGGCCAACACAACATTTGGGGACACAAAATTCCTAGCTCCAACCAAAACTCTACCCAACTCAAAGGGTATAACCATCCAAAACAACACTCTAAAATCAAAAAGTCCATTAAAACCTTAATTCCTCTCCAAATATCAATTTAGGATTCAAACCTCAAGGACCCACTATAAGAATTCAACACCCGAACATCCCATTTGAACAATTGAGGTTCTAACAACAATCTAAACCGATTAAACATCCAATTTAACCCTCCTTAACATAACCCAAATCACAAAACTCAGAATCAACCTCTACATTGTCATCCTCAATCCCAAATCACCTATTTCCATAAACCCTAGCTTAAAAAACTCAAGATTCTTTAAATCCAAGAAAACTACACCGATTAAATACTTAGACTAACCCAAAGCAATCAATTAAATTCAAAACAATCGGTCAAAAACCTCAGTTCTATCACAACCTAGAAAATCCTAGGGTTCCACCAAAAATCCTCAGAAATTCCAAGAAAGAAAGTAGATTAGAGGTTAAAATCACTTACTTGAGGTAATGGATCCTTAGAAATGTCTTTCCCAAGCCTTAACACCGAAACCCTAGCAGAGCTCCTCTCTCCTCCTTCAGATTTTTTAATTTTCGCACAATTGAACCCTCCAGCGTCTATATAGATTCGACAATTTTCGCCGTGGCGAACTAATCCTGAGAGGGATTACTCGCCTGAAAACCCGATTTCGCCGCGACGAAAGCTTCCCGAGAGGAAACTCTCGCTCGCCCAGAAGAACTTCGCCGCAACATGCTCTCACCTTCGCCGCGGCGAAACCTTCCTGAAAGGGAAGCCTCGCTCACCTGAACAACTTCGCCGCGGCATCCCCAAGACTTCGCCGCAGCCAAACCTTCCCGAGAAGACACTCCCCTTTGAAACCCCCGGTGCGCCGCGGCGAACATACCCTGAGAGGAGTACGTTCACCTATTCCTCCAGCATACCTTAAATCCAACCCAAACACCAAGATCAAGATTAAATTGTTAATCTATCCTCAAAATCAACCAAAAGAGGCTATTAAAACCCGATAAGACTTAGGATGTTACAACTGTTAGTTGTTATTGGCTGTGGATATCCTATGCTCAATCAAAATAATAATAATAATAATTTTTTTTCTTTATATAACTCAGAATGTATTTAAGAATGAAAAAGAGCAAAAAGAGTTCTCCAGAGCCAGACGAGTTTGAGGTCAAACGAAGAACCAAACACGCGTGTCAGTGAGATCATCCGTGATAAGCCATTTCCCGTCCACATTCATTCTCTTGTTTTGGTTATGAGCTTCTGACGTGGCACTCTCCATCCACCATTCTCCGTTTCTCATCCAGCCCGTCCGCCAAGATCCCGTCTTAATCCTACTCCTTTGATCCCAATACTGCCCTTCTCATATTTTCGACTCATCTACTTTTACGACGTGCATTTTGGTAATTCAACACCCCACAATAATTAGCATGCTTCAATTTATGTAGTGTGGTTATGAGCTAGAAGACAATACGATTCTCCGCGCTCCTTCTCTTCAGTTCATAAATTTGCCGCCGGTATGTCGCCGGCAGCCGGAATGCACGTCCCTCTCTTGCCAGAAGGCAAAGTTTTAGTAAAGCCAGCCTCCGTCTCTGGCGCGGTCTTCAATGTGGCTACCAGTATAATTGGCGCCGGGATCATGTCGATTCCGGCGACCTTGAAGGTTCTGGGTGTAATCCCGGCCTTCGTGATGATCCTGGTCATCGGTCTCCTTGCCGAAGTTTCAGTGGACTTCCTCATGAGGTTTTCGCATTCCGGCAACACCACCACTTATGCTGGAGTGATGAGGGAGGCTTTCGGGCCGGCCGGAGCATTTGCCGCGCAAATTTGTGTAATGATCACAAATCTTGGGTGTTTAATTATGTACCTCATTATCATCGGTAAGTATGCTTTTTCTGTTTTGGACCTGAAATGTGCTAGAGAACTACATGTCAAGGAAAAAGACAATATTTGATTTTGAAGAATAAAGTTTCTTCTAAATCTTCAACTTGAAAAGCTGCAAAAAGCTGATTGAAATCTGGCTTCTCGCTTTCTGTTTGAAGAAAAAAAAAAGTGTCAGGAAGAGACCGGACGATATATTCGAGCCAGCCACAAAATATGAATAAATGTGTTAAAAAAAAAGACATTTAATCCATGTTGAATCCCGTGTTTATGCTACTGGGATTCTTAGCCAAGAAATCAGTGGCAATCGACATTGATGTATGCTTGTTTGTGGACATTGGATGAACGGAACAGGGGATGTGCTATCTGGAAATTCACCTGGAGGCGAGGTTCACTTGGGGATTCTGCAACAATGGTTAGGAATTCACTGGTGGACTTCACGGGAGTTTGCTCTGCTCGTGATAGTCTTCGTCATGCTTCCATTGGTCCTGTATCGTCGTCTGGGTCAGTATTATCCCTTCGTTTTAAACAACAATTACCTTCAACACTGGCTTAAAAATCATAAGCTCAAATTCAATGTCCTGTTTGTTTTCAGAGTCCTTAAGGTTCAGTTCTGCAATATCAACTCTTCTAGCAGTGGCGTTCGTGGGCATATGTTCTGGGATGGCAATCACTGCTCTGATGGCAGGAAAAACATATCGTCCGAGACTGCTCCCCGAGTTAAACAGCCACACCTCTTTTTTTGATCTATTCACAGCTGTTCCAGTCATAGTCACTGCCTTCACCTTTCACTTCAACGGTACCTAACTTTTTATTAACTTCTCTTCAAAGAAAGCTTTGAAGTCTCTTAGCAATGGGGTTTGATGAATTTCATTTTGCAGTGCATCCAATTGGGTTTGAACTTGCCCAGCCATCTGATATGACAGTAGCAGTTCGAATAGCATTAGTTTTATGTGGCGCCATATACTTTGCGATAGGCCTATTTGGGTACCTTCTATTTGGGGATTCAACACAATCAGACATACTCATAAACTTTGATCAGAATACTGCTGGTTCTGCGACTGGGTCCTTGCTCAATACCCTAGTCCGTTTAAGCTATGCCTTTCATATCATGTTGGTGTTTCCTCTCTTGAACTTCTCTCTGAGAGCCAACATAGACGAGCTTCTCTTCCCCAAGAAGCCTCTGCTTGCCACAGACAACAAAAGATTTGTGATCCTCACTCTGGTTCTCCTCGTCTTCAGCTACCTCATCGCCATCGCTTTCCCTGATATTTGGTACTTCTTTCAGTTCGTGGGATCAACTTCCGCAGTGTGCCTCGCCTTCATCTTTCCTGGTTCTCTCGCTCTTAGGTAAATACCAAATGCATCTCACATTATCCTCAGGGAAATTAAGATAGCATTTTTGAGTTCTTCGATTTGATTTTCTTTAATTGTTTCCCAAATTTCAGGGATGCTCATGGTATATCGAAAAGAAACGACAAGATCACAGCACTGATAATGATCATCCTGGCTATAATAACAAGTGTCATTGCCATTTCCACCAACATATACAACTTTTTCAGCAGCAAATCATAGAATTGGTTGATATAGAAGTTTTGATCAGGCAAGCACACAGGGTTAAGGTTCGAAGGGGCGACTTGAAATTTTTTTATAATTTTTTTTTTTTTGGGTATTGTGTTAATGCGTCATTATGTCAATTTGTAATTACAGGACCATTGCGTGGGTTGACGATGACGATGCATGTTTGTTTCTAGAGTTTTGGCATCTATAATTGACAAGAGAGAGCTATGTGTAGAATTGTGGGCTAAATAAATAATGGATGCGGATATTTGAGAATATTTCTGTGATTGTACAAGTAGTGTTGTTTAAATGTCCATCATGATTTGATCTTGATGTGATGCCAAGTAGTGGCATCAATTTTTAATACGGGGCATGATCTCCCCATAGTATTTTGTATGGATATTATTTCTCCAGCTTTAGGCAACATGTCACATACGTGCACGTGCTAAGTTAATCAGAGGTTTCTATCAAGGGTCGTTTCATTGATAAAGAAGAAATATTATTTTAAATTCAGTCTTTTGAACATTTTCCTATTTTGGAAGCATCCCCATATAATTCTCTTTTGGCGGACCATTATCAAATGAGGAGAACTTATTTTTGATAAATTAAATTAAGAATAGATTGAGGATTGAAAGTTTATATATATATATATATATATATTTCTAGTTCATTAGAAAAATAAATAATTTCAAGTAGTTTTTCTCCTTGATTACCACTGAAAAAAGTCCCCTCCATAAATAATAATTTGAAAATAATTAACAATAAGCACGTCTGGCGTGGGCGCACGTCGCAATAATATGTTAAGCTTGAGTTTTATCCTTAAAATATATTGTTGGGTCAGTTTAAAAAGGGTATATTGTAATTAACCATGGACCATTCAAATAAGGTCTAAGTGATTTATATCTAGGGGTGTTCACGGGACGGATCGGGACCGGAACAGGCCCGTCCCGGTTCCGTCTCGGTGAACAGTAACGGGACAGATTTTCTGTCCCGTGTCCCGGCCCGTCCCAGGGTTGTCCCGGTCCCGGTCAGGACGGGACGGATCCGGGACGGGACCGGGACGTCCCGAAATTATTATTTTTTAATTTTTTTACTTTTTTTAAAAAATCTGATTTTTTTAATTATATTTTTTGGAACTTAAATCTTATAAAAACATCTTTTTATTTGTTTGGGCACTTTTAAACAAAAGCTCAAAATATTACATATAATAGTTATTAAAAACTCTAAACAAAAGCTTTTAACACAATAAAACTTGCTAAAATTCTAATAATCAATAATCTCAAATTATTAACAAATATAAAAACTCTAAATAAATATATCCATAGTTTCATACAATAGTCTCAAATCTTAAAAAAAATATGAAAAAAATGATATTATATAAAAAATTAAAAAAATTAATTTTTTTTTAAAAAAGGAACCCGGACGGGACCGGGACGGGACGACCCCGTCCCGTGTCCCGTCCCGTCCCGGTCTCTTTTTTGTCCCGTCTCGGTTTGTCCCGTCCCGAAAAATTTCGGGACGGATCCGTCCCGTCCCAATAAGACTAGGACCGGAACGGGCCGACTGGGACGGGCCGGCCTTGAACACCCCTATTTATATCTAATGAGCTTAAGGTACTCACCTCAGCTGGTTCCATAATGCTTACAGTTTCAGAATTTTGTTATCCAAATATTAAATTTAAATTTTAAAAGAAAGAATTTTTTTTATAAAATAAATATGGAAGTACATAGAACTGATTAATTATTAGGTGGAGATCTTCACAAGTACTGTAAAATACAAATGATGAAAGGCCAAATTAAAGATAATTAAATGTAGTCATTAACGGTGAATATTACAATTAACGCAAAGATGAAAGCATAATCCACCCCTCCACTAATTTTCACCCTAAAACTGTCTTTGTATTTGAAGAAGCTTCTGCTTGGCAAACCTTCCGTCACCTCTGCGATGACACTATCGTCTCTGTAAACTCTGCAACAAAGATCAGAGTAAGTCTTCACAAGCTGAAACCTGGACGTCCTGTTGTTATCATCGTCTCCATTAATACCAGTTTCAGGCATGAACACGTCAAGGCGTGGCTTCATTTCAAGAGGGTGCGATCTTTGGACGCCGAATATGAGATCCTTCTGATCGGAGCTCTTGCCTGAATTAACCGTCCACCGGTGCCGGAGAGTTAGCAGATTCACCTTCTGACGCATCGTGAGAACCAAAGAGCCTGAAGCGTCACGCATCACTCTCCTCTTATGGAGGCTCAGGCTTGGTCCTTCCACTTGAAGCAGAAGATTGCCATTTGTGTCAGACAGTTCGTATCGTTGGCGTATAAAGAATCTGTCGTATTTCTTCTTCACTATGACCTCTTTTGTGTTGCGTTCGCAGAAGCTATCTGCAACCACACTGCTCGTCATGCCAAATCCATCTTCTTCAGATTCTGCAACTGCTTGCTGCATTATATATTGATTGTAACCAATGAACTGATTTTGTTAAAGCAGATTTTAATTTGTTAAGGGACACTGACATTAATATAGGATTAGCCAAAGTGATATATCAGGTTTCTTGGAAACGTACCTCTTTGGCTGCCTCTACTTATGACGCGGTAGCAAAGTAAGACAAGGGACCTATTAAATTATTTAATCCATGTTATGCATTATATTGCAGTCTACCATCTGACCACGTGGAAATGAATATTGTTATGTAAGCATAATCCTTTCTCACAAAATTATGTTTCTGACTATAGTACAACATTCATTTAAGAACAAATAGTCTTTATCCAATTTCCCCAAATTTCCTATATTAATTGTTTCCGTCCAATGATACAGTCACTCATATTGGCGCATTTCTATTTCTATGCATTAAATGATATGAGTATTTTTAATTTTAAAAAGTTGCACAAGTTATATGCACATTAATTATAAATAACTAATTTACATACCTTTTTTTTTTTCTTATTTCCACGAATTAATTAGATGAAAAAAATCTTATAGGTAAGAATGAAGGGAGTAATATTTGGAAGTAGCCGAAGCCTCTGCATCAGCAGACACCTTGGCACTTTGAAGTTTGACCGAGTCCGTCCCTCTAAAATCCAAGTCGCCCTGCCCGTTTAAGAGCCTCACATTTTCTAATTTCAAACCATGGACACTAATTAAAATATGCTTATTGACATATATTTTTATTCGAAATCTTCTGTCGAACGCACATTCTGAATTTCAACCAAATTATCTAGAAGACTCAAGCAATTCGCACGTAAAACGATTAAAAAAACAACTTCGTCATAAACGTCGATATCAACTCCTCTTCTTAGGTAACTCTTGTTTGTTGAGGTTTCGGGTAAAAAGGAATTTTCTTTTAGGGGAAGGGGCCCCAGGGGGGCAGAATTCAGGCACAAAAGATTGACTCCTCCTCTTTGAAGAAACTCGCCGATGTATCACTTTTTATCGTTCAATTGATCATTTGTTAATCTTATTCTCATATCATATGATCACCTGCGAAATTTCTTTGGTTTCCCGGGATTGACTATTTACTCTAACGTCCATGCAAGTTACTAGGAAATTTTCCAATAAAAACAAAAGTTACTAGGAACCTCTCCAAGTAATTCAGAAATGGGCATGTAGAGGGTAAAAAGCAAGAAATAATTTGAAAATTTTCATGAATTCGTAGTCATTAATATACGTATAAAAACCACATATCATCACAGAATTTATAGATCATAAATAATAGAATCCTTTCATTAGACTTCATGCCGGGTGAATAAATTTCTCCAACAATTTAAATAGGCCCACTTTTAGATTTCGGAAGTTCTTGGCGATAATACTGAAAACTTTTTCATACAGAACATTGCCGTATCTTGTGTGTTCACGTATGAAGCTGCTTACTGATTATAAAACTTTCGGTACATAAGAAAAAGATGGTTACTCGCATACCGCATGTAAAGCTGAATCAAATTAACATAATTCTGAGATTTTTGCTTTAATCAGAAATTTAAGGTTTCAACCATCAATAGCAGGTACATTTTAATTTGTATGTTCAGCAGTTTCTCTTGGTACAGTTACGAACACAAGTTTCAGCCTAAATTGAAGCGAATAGCTCAGGCCCTCGTGTCACCCTACTAGATCCATGTGGTTAGAAACAAAATGAAAAGGACTTAGTTGTGTGAGAAATAACCCAAGCCAATAAAGCATGAAAGATGAATCATCGCATACTGTCAATAAAAATGGACAACGATTAGTGGGGTATTCCACCTGGTGCTGATGTGAACCAAATGAAGCTCGATCCATATTACTCTTTATTATATTTGAATTAAAGATGTGTTGGAGATTGCTTGTCCTCATCCCCGCATTAATGGCCAGCTCATTCATTATAATATTATATGCTTTGAGCCTGAAAAAACCCAGGCAACCACCTCAGCTAAAAGTCACGATCGTCCATCATATCTCTGATCTTGGAATCTTTTCATCAAGGACAACTTGAATCTCTCAACATCCGCATCCTCGAGAGAATTCGGGATAGACCTAATAATTGTGATTGCTCCAGCATGATATAAGGATGCAAGAACTTCATCTACAATAATTAAGTACAATTAGCCCAACAGAAAAAAGAAGAAAATACTATCAGATTCTTCTCTTGCATATCTCTCAACCTCATGATATGAATTATATTAGATGCTCTGCTATATATTGACAAGCAGCGAGAGGGCTTATGGGGGGGAAAAAAAGCAGCTACAGGCACCAATAGCGTGGAGATGCAGGTTATCAAGAGCTCTTGCCCCTTACAGATTTAATAATTCAAAATCAAAACAAAAGTATTCATTTTCCTCTTTATCATTAAAAGGCTGTACCAATGAATGTGGATGACATTACTTAAAACATGTCAAAGCTTTCTAAACTCCACAACAAACTTGCTTCATATAACTGGTTCCCAGCCACAATATTATATGAATAAATAACTAAACCGTTCCAACCATGGTTGGCCCTAATGTACAAAAAAGAAGCTATAACTGAAGACGAAGAACATTGGGATTTCTATTTGTTACCTGATTGTGAGAGTGCATCAAGAGCCTTCAAAGCTACTTTCCGTGTTCGGTCATCACCAGCTGTGTTCAACATGTTTAAGAGCTCTTGGGCTCCACCCATCTCAACTATCTTTACCCTTCTCTCATCTTTTCATCAAAAAAACGAAAGAAAGCCCTTATAGATGTTAGATATGCAGGTATGCAAGAGTGTACATTCTAGAAAGTAAACAATCATCAAGCGGAGAGGATGCACAGGAGACTAAACAAGTAATTACTAATTGCCAAAGACCCAGATTAGCTGAATGATCAAGGAAATTCTGAGTTTCCATTTCGAAATATAATTCAGTTTTTCGTCATTGGATTGTCAATTCTAATTTCTGTGTCAATAAAGAACTAAAGTTTACAAATAATGTAGCCCTTTTCCCTATTCAGCAGTCAGACTTCACAATAATAGGCCCGTAAACAGGGGGATGGTGAGCAAGTTGTATGTGACAGTAACAGTTTTGAGAGTCATTCTGCCATAAGAAAGGTTTAAAAGGGTTAAAAGAGAAAGAAGAGGCACATTGTGAATTCTGCAGAAGTATCAGAAGTATCAGCATCAGGAAGATTTTTAGCTTGTCAAATAGCTTAAGGGAATTTCTTGAGTTGCTGACGCTGATATTAAGAATTATTCTCTTTATCCTATAGATATATATCAAGATAAACTAACCCATGAATGTTCAGTATATAAGAACAAACTCTACTAGCAGAACCTTCTGAAGTTCAAAGTCTCCAATCTACTAACTCAATTCACCCATATTTTGTATTTGCATAAACTATTTGAGATTGTTCCAGGCTTTAACTAATAGTATAAAGCAAAGATATAATGAAAACAACATTGATATACCAGAGAAAAAGAATCTGTTTAGGAAAGGGCTATCTAACACACTAAGAAGTGAATAATAGTGCACGTCACAAAGTGTTTCAACATTATTCCCATAGGTAATACCTGCTATAAGCGTAAATGTGTCATGTCAATAAATTTAGCAAGGTCCAACAGAAAAGTATAGAAAACAAGGATTACCATCAATTGCAAAACGGGTCAATCTAGAAGCTCCCATCCTTTTAAACAGAGGATCCTTGACTTGCAAAAGAGATACAGACTGTTGCATCAAATTATCTCCTATAGTTATATACGATAGCAATATAGTCAGCTTTGATCCAACAGCAAATGCAGGCATTACAGTTAACAATTAAATCGAGAATACAGATACCCATGTAAGGAAAGAACTGGTATGCCACTACAGATCCTGTCCCAGCAAACAACAGTTTTAAGAGCCATCCAATTTTTCTTTCAGCTTCTTCTTCAACGGTTAGTTCCTCTGGAAATTTAAAAAAAAAAAAAAAAAGCTACAGGTGAAGCTGTCCCAACAGTGAATAACATAATTGCACCGTAACAAAATCAAATACCCCAAACACAATTTTCTATTTATATTTGATGAAATCTGATACATGGTTCAGTCATGTGATTTTCTGTTGCGATCACGACCTTTTTCGTAGAATTACTCTCACGGTAGACAAGTCCTATAATGTCTGGGTATCCATATCTCAGTATAGTGTTCTCGCAGCTGAACTAATTGTTTATGGCTTCTCCAAATTATGTTCTTTTAAGGAAAGTGTGGCCACAAATAAGCGATTAAATATGAAGAAGCACAGAATTACCCTTTCCAGATGAAAAAGTGCGGAATTGTAGATTGCCCCCAGCTCTTCTTCTACATAAGTACTGCAAAATGAATACAAGTAAATGATTAGCAAAAGAGCACCCACAACAGCTAATTATCTATCGAGGAAGTTGTAAAATGGTATATGAAACGAAAAGATCTAGATAACAGTTCCGGGTTTAAACATGGGAAATACAAAGATTAAATATCACTCTACATTAGCGAGTTGAACTGCTCTGGCCCGCATGATATCAAATTTCAGCCCGTTCTTTTCTTCTACGAAATTATAAGTTCGTCAGGCAGCTCCTTGGGTTAAACTTCCGCCACGCGTCGGACCGACAATTTTCGATCACGAGAATTCGCACGGCGCGGTAATGGTGAAATTGCGAGAATGTATCATACATCGAAATATTGGTGGCCGCTGTCCCGAGGGCTGCGTCTGAACTCCCAGCGGCACTCAGCATCCCCAAGAAGCTCATCTGAACCGTTTATTCTATTAAATCTAGGCCGTCCATTTCATACGCACTGATGCTGTGAAAAACCTGAAGTGAAGGAGAATGACGAAGAATAACAATCGTACGCCAAAGAACCCATCATGGATTATACGTCACCACCATGAAAAATTTTAAAAGTTACATGACGTGTTTTTTTGTGATCCCTCAGATCAATTGAACGGATAGCATTTAAAGCTTCCACAGGAATAAGAAGACAATAGCCGCTGATTCTGAACCCGCGAATGCTC